TATATATATATATATATATATATATATATATATATATATATATATATATATATATATATATATATATATATATATATATATATATATATATAAAACTTTAATTATATTAATGTTTATACATATTTATCTATTCATATATAATTATTTATTTATAGTAAATTTTGAACAAATTACGTTATAAAAATAGTTTTGAATAAATATAATATAACTTTTGCGCGTATTACAGACAACTAAATCAATGTTTATAAATTTTTTTCTTCTTTTTTCAACACAAAACCCTTTCATTATAAAACATGGTCTGATCTGCTCCATACAATTTTACATAATCAGTTCTACATCTTCTTCCATAGAAAGGTTTGTGTTGACTTCATCCAAACTTTCATTTTTTTATGTGGTAATTGTTTTTATTCAATCTTTTTATTTTCTTTGATTTTTCTAACTATGTTTCAGATCTGTTTCAACAAAGCCATTTCAAATATTTATTTCATGATCTGTGATTTTTCTACGATTTTTTATGTTCTACGAAATTTGTCGATTTTTCTAATAAAATAACTTATCCATTCATGATTTGCGATACTCTTACAACACGAGTTTCAAGTCCTGATTTTATTTTACTGCATTTATTGCTCAATGATTTTGTTTTACTTGCTTCGCATATTAATGTACTCAAACATGTGCGAATGTCATGACCTCCTATCTTTATTGGTGACTTGAAATAAGCAATCATGATATGGAAGATGCCCATTTGTATTGTTGATCTTTGGACTATTAGAGAGCGCAATGACCAACAACATTCTTATTTGTCTGTAATTAGTATATTTTATAATTTTAATAAAATTAACAATTTATTTTATCACAAAATTTATTTTTCATCTCACAGACCACTATATCATATTACCTATTTTATTTTAAACAACAATCGTCTTTATTTGAGAGGAAAAATCTATATTTTTATTACAGACAAATAATAATGTTATCAATCTAATTTAAAAAGTATGCATTATTTTACTTTCTATCTCGAAACATATTTTAATTACTAGTCATTTACATCAAATAGAACATTTTGAGTATTATATATTGATATCAAATTTTTAAATAATAAAATATTTTAACTCACGGGTCACTATCAATACAATACAAATTTTATTTAAATCAATTAAATTTATATAATTATGTTTCATTTTACGATTAAGAAACTCATTTTAAAATTATATATGTATCTAAATATACTTTATCAAAATGAATTTATGCGTGCGGACGCACGAGTATCTTACTAGTTAAATATATTTAAATTTATTAACATTTGCTTATATTTAAGACTAAATTTTTTTTATTTATTTATTGTTTATAAATAAGGTCGAAAATGGTATATTAGTTGATTGCTTAATAAAAATAGGAATGAGTTATGTTAAATTTTAATTTTAACCAACATCATTTTAATTATTTTATTTAATTTTATGGAGGAGAATGTTTTGGACACTCGACTGTTAAAAGAGTCCTCACAACACATATTTTCATTGTGAATACTTATTTCTCATTATTATTATCATATTTTTCTCAAACATTAAAAGAGCTTTTTATAAGGTGGTCAGTCGTCGAGTATAATAATATAGGTGTTTGAATTTGATTGTTACTTCTTTTTCATTGTACTTTATATATGGCTAAACCTCATAAGGGTGAGAATGCAGATATGAAAAACATAAGTCCTTACGACATTAAATTTGAGTTGCTGGGCTATAAAGAGAGGTAGCTAATCTCGTCAAGTTATTTGATAATGTCTTGGGAAGCTCTTGACAAGATAATTTGGGTCATCGAGGAGTTCATATTAGGGAGAAAGATAAAAAGATGAAAACTAACATCAAGCAACACCCAATAAGGTTGCAAATGGACAATTCCCAATAACTATTGAGGTCATCCAGAGTGATACCTTATAACAAAGTTACAACGAAGGTTTTGAAGGCTAAAGACGTGTTCATGCTACCTCACTACATGTCGAACACCATGTTCTCTGAACTTCTGATTGTGGCTGAAGTTGATATTATTCAAAAGCTTATCAAATTGTTCCTTAAAGGGACATCATGTGGTAGAGAGGGTTTGCGAGACCAACATATACTATGCACAATTTATGGATAAGGTTTTGGTGTAGATAGAGATCATTTTTGTGCATCACTTTAGTAGTTAACTTATGGCTTGGAGGAAAGTGTTCGATTAGTTTGGTAGAGTTTGTAGCTTTCACACCCTTGACGATTGTGGGATGCACCATATTTTTGTAGTTTTTATTTGGAAGCGTTTAGTATACAAGGTTTCTATGAAAGGAGTCGTGTGGGATTTTTATGTTACAACCTCTTATTCATAAGATTAGAGACAGTTGCAAACTTCTTTTTCATCACTTGACACCATTTAGAAGAGGTTTCAAAGATTGAGCATTAATTTGAATATTCATAAGATTGAGATCTTTTGGCCTTTGTGTGATGGAAGTAAACATCAGGGAGGGTTGTTCATTTGGACATTCAGAAGCTAGTGTTATGGTGACATTTTTCAAAGGAACTGTTAGTTGAGATAAAGGATTTATCGAAGGGTTGTTCATGAAGAGAGTTTCTAAGGTGGTTGAGTTAATGCAATTTCTTCCATAATTAAGTTATCCACATAATGAGTTTCTTCTACTTCGATCTTGCATGAGTATTGCCCAATTATTTGTTGGCCTAAAGACATGACAACATACTCACATGGGGGAGACAACTATTTGGTTTCATATAGATTGGGACGAACGATTAAATAAACTGTAGTTAGTGGAGGGTCTTTTCTTAGGTGACCTTCAATAGGAGTTGGCTTCTGAATCTATTAGGATTGCGGGTTGGGTTTTTACTTAGAAGTACAAGCTACCTCGTATGATTTTGTCGCTTCCAGAGTCCAGCTGAGTGTTACAAGATCATATATTTTAGACAATAAGATAAGTGATATGAAGTCTAGTTTTGACATAGTTTTGTGTGATCCTAATGGTACTATTTAGGTTTTTGGACCTAACAATTTTACTAGCAAGACTCTGTTAAAGCTTAACATATTTTGACAATTTTTTTTTTAAAGTGATAGAACATGGAAGTAAAGTTTGACAAGGCCAAAAGATAGAAATCAATTTTAAGTGTTTGCAAGCAACACATGCTCATGACTTTCTCCTTACTATTTCCATTGATGGACTATGATACTATATGTCACTAGTAGCATATCGTACTTTTCGTAAGTATTGCCTTGTGATTCCATTATTTTCTATTGATTGTATTTTTTTTCTATTTGGCGTAAGGTGTGTCCAAAAAACTCTAAGGAGCACATAGTTCAATGTAGAGAGATTTTAGACTTCAAATATCGACATGATTTTGTTAGGCGTGTCCTCTTTATATATTTATATAACCAGGGATACTTATGAAGAAAGAAACACTTGTGAATTTCTTGACCAATTCACAAGAGAGAATATTGACATTTAGACCAACAAATGTTCTTGTGTATGAGTTTATAGGATGTAAGCATGCATATGTGGATTTGACTAAGATTTCTCCACTTTTGAAATTGTTGGTTTTTAGTGCAAGACTATCAACCCTAAAAAACGCTTTAAACAAAATGGTCAAACATGAGAAAATGTATTATGACAATCAACACACTTTTATAGGAGTGGAAAAACGGGACAGGCCCGTCGGACATTGCCCATTTTGCCCGTATTAATGGACCAAGGGTTAAACCCGCACTTTCTAATATGCTCACTCTATTTCTTACAGACTTTTACAGGCACATGCATTAACATGTAATTTTGCAACTCTTAAGCTTAAAATGTCAATGTTTGCGGGACCGCTCCGCCCCACATTAATTTTGAGACAAAGTTTTTAGATCCACACCCTCAACAAAGTCCATCCGATGTGTTTTTTCACGAGTTTTTTTGGAGGAACCTAAACGAAACAGAGATCCCATTTATCATCCTGTTTATCACCCTTATACTTTTATATCATTTGTATTTGACAAAATTGACTTTATAAAATCACAAGCCGTGAATCTTTTACGGTAAGTTTAAAATGCAATATTGTCTTTATCAAATTTTATGAATAACTTTTAAAAAGAATTATTTTTATCATCTAAAAAAAATGATTGTATTAAGTTGTTGTCAGGTGTCTTTATTCGTGTGTAATTTTTCATATTTTCATATTCTTAAATAGAAATTTTAAGATGCAATTTAATTTATAAAAAGTTAAAAAAAAAATCAATAAATAAAAAACAAACTCAAAAAATAATTCAATAAATAAAAACACGTTCAAATTTTTTTGTACAAATATCGTCAGTTGAATTTAGAGGAAGATGCTAAATTCTTAAAATTAATGGAAAAAAAAGAAGAGATAAACAACAATTTTGATGATGAATGTGTTACACATTCCTAGGAAAAGATATGAATGTATCGAAATTATAAATACATTTATAATGAATTCATTATCCACTTTAATTCTTGAATATACTTTTAGATAATTAATTTAATTCTCCAATAAATTTTTATTTATCAATTTAATTTATAAAATCACATAAAAATATACTTTAAGATGCATTTACAATTTCTATCTACTTAGGGATTATAATTAACTTCTCCCACATTCAATGTGATCAAAAATACACGAGTTCCAATTTTTTAACCAAAAATACTTCTATTTAACACCAAAAATACTAGTTTGACTAGTAAAAAGTGGCAGACCAAACGATCTAGTAAAAAAATTTAATGTATGGAAATTATAAATACATTTATAATGTATTTACTATCCACTTTAATTCTTGAACGTATTTTTAGATAATTAATTTAATTCTGAAATTACTTTAAAAAAACAAATCTAAGATGCATTTACAATTCCAATCTACTTTAAAGATTATAGTAATTAAAAATATTTCATTATTCCGAACTTTCTAGTGAAAACTAGTTCTATTTAACATCTCCATAGACAAAAAGAAGGCACATTTTCACTCTTTCTTCAGAAATGGCTTCAAAATCGTGTCTCATTCTCTGTGTTCTTGCAATCTGGAACATTGATTTAGCTCAAGGAAGTTCAGCAACCCATGAAGCCCCAACACCATCATTGGACTGCACAAACCTTGTCTTAACAATGGCTGATTGTTTGTCTTTTGTAACAAACGGTAGCACAAGAACAAAACCAGAAGGTAACTGTTGTTCTGGTTTGAAATCTGTTCTCAAAACCGCTCCTTCTTGTCTATGTGAGGCGTTCAAGAGTAGTGCTCAGTTTGGTGTTGTCTTGAATGTCACCAAAGCTACCTCTCTTCCTGCTGCATGCAAAATCTCTGCTCCATCTGCTACTAAATGTGGATGTAAGTCCTTTCTTTCCTTCTTTTTTTTTTCTCCTTCTATCTTATTATAAACTTCTGCACCTTCTGCTACTAGATGTTGGATTTCTTCATTGTTCTTCCATTTGGGTTTTCTTAAATTTTCATTTTTTCTTTGTAGCTGGAGGTCTCTCTCCACAACCATCTGCACCTTCTCCAACTTCTTCTGGCTCATCTTCAAGTTTGAGTGGTCCTGTAAATGAGTTATCACCAGCACCAGCACCAACACCATCTCTAGGGAGCACAGCATCGGAACAATTCCCAATTTCAATTATATTCTTACTTGTTTGCCTATTGGTGGCTATAATATCACTTTTTTAAAATGAGTTTTCATCTTTTTCATTTTGAGATCATAGATGACATGAGAGGGTTTATTTTGATGCTTTCTTTTGAGCTTTACCATTATAGTACTTCTCCTTATAGTAGATAATAATCCATTTTAGGAATCACTCAAAACTTATTTACATCTTGTACCCTCTTTATAATATAATATAATAATAATTATAACAATTTGAATAATTATATTATTTATTTATTATTGTTTTTTGTGAGAAGTATTTGTGTGGAAGTAATCTCTAGGACTAAAATGTAATTTCAAGTAAGCACTATCATTTAGTGTTGGAGTTTCTTCACAATATGGTATTCATAGTCATCACACACAACTACCTACCTCTCTTGGCAAAGTTCCTTTTGGTAGAGAAAGATGCATGCACATGTGATGTGCTATTGTTTTTATGGTTACCACTCACCACAACGACATAGCTTGGTGAGATTATTAGTTAGACAACAATACACATAGTAGTTATTATAATACCAAATTGTTGGAAGGAAAAAAGGTAAAAAAAACTTTATCTTTTATGGTTAAATTATGATGTTTCACAAACACAATGAACCATTTAATTCAACTGTCATGCTTTGGCCTTTTATCTAGCCAACTAGACAAAAGGCAGTTGTTTGCATTCATCATATGCTTTCTACTTTCGGCCCGTGCATAATGAAAGAGAGTAAATGCAAAAGAAAACAATGCTTTATTAGAAGAAAATTTAAATGGATTTCAAACACTAAGTATAAATATTTATTTGATATTTTTGTTGTATAAATTAGGGTTGTTCAAATTCAAAATGTTTTAAGTAAAAATCATAAATTAACAACAACAACTACGTCTTATCCTATTAGGTGAGGTCTGCTACATAGATCAACTTTTGCTATAATGTTCTATGAATAATATGTTTTTATCTAAATCATTAATTTTGAGATTCTTCTTGATAACTTCTCTTATAGTTTTTCTTGGGCCTTCCTCAAATATATAGATTTGTTTGGAGTTTATAGGAGTAATTGTTACCATTGTTAGTATTTTTAAAGTTTATAGCAATTGTAACTGGTTACAAGTTTTGCGTAATTGATTACAAGTATGAAATTTAGATTTTTCAATTATTTGACTTGTCACTTGTGTCCCAATTCACTTGTACTTGTTTGAATATATACCAATGGGATATCACATTTATAAATTAATGAAAGTTCATATTCTCACTCTCAATTATTCTCTCTAACTCTTTCTCATTCTCCACACTCAAACCCTCTATTTTCATTAACCAAATGATTTTAAGTTCTAACATTTGACATCAAGAGCCTAATTCGATCCACCAAATACCTAGCGTGCAACATGAATTATGTCTCCAACGAAAGAACCTCTACAAATCTATTTATCCTTGATGCAAATAATTACGACAAGTGGTGCAAACAAATGAATGTGTTGTTTAATTTGGCTTCCAAGGTGTTCTTGAAGTGATCAAGAACGGGGTGAATTCTCTTGTTATAGGTGTAACGAATGCACAATGAGCAACACATAATGAAGAGAAGAAAGATTCCAAATGCACTGTTTTTTATCCATCAATGTGTGGATGGTGACAACTTTAAGAAAGTTGGATATTGTGAATTGTTAAAACAAGTGTGAGAAATCTTGGAAAAGGCATATGCAGGGGCTGACAAGGCGAAGGTGGTGAGATTACAAACTCACAAACATCAACTTGAATGAATTCAAATGGAGGAAAAGGAGACAATCAACGATTACGCAACGAGAATTACTCGATTGGTGAACCAAATAAAATCACGTGGAGAAACTACTATGAAATAGTATGTTATCGCGAAAATCTTATGTTCTTTGACGGGAATATTCGATAACATAGTTGTAGCAATTGAAAATTGAATGATCTTGCAAAGATGAGCAAAGATGAGCTACAAAGCTCTCTTGAGACTCATGAGCAAAGGATGAAGAAGAGAAATAGTGACAAGGTAAAGGTGGGGATCACTTTACAAGCTCATTGAAATGAGAAAGATAAGAAGTTAAAAAGAAAATTGCCCATGAAAAGTAAATAGAATTTTCAGAATTTTGGTGGAAGCAACAAGAGTGATGGTCAAGGAAACTTTAGAGGTGAAAGGGGAAAGATTGACAAAAGCTAGATACAATGTTTTAATTTTCAAAATTTTGATCATTTTGCAATAAAGTGCAATGCAAACAAGAAGGAACCTCAAGTAGATGAAGCCAAGATTGCAAGACAAGAGTTTGACGAAGAGAACACACTCTTAGTGTAACACCCAAATTCTACCCGACAGATAATAATAAAATCAGAGTTCAACATAAATAGGATGCTACATTTACAACTTAAAAGCAAACTTCATTTAATCACATATAAAACAAATACGTAACACTTAATTCGGATGAACCGATAACAACCTGATTTATTCTTTAAAATCAAACAACTTTTTTATTGATAAACAGCGGAATATACATACTCAACTTCAATTCACTTAACATATTTTATTCAACTAGAACAACTTCAAGACAATAATTATTTCTTGCAATCAACTTAAAAACTCAGCAACTGAAATAAATATCAACAACTAAACATTAAACGCTTATCCCCCGAGTGCTACGTATCAGAGCGACAATATCGACTCGAACTAACGAAGGTAACAACTATTCTTCTTGATTACCTGCACATTACCAACAGAGGGAAACCATCAAACAGAAGGGGTGAGATATCAAACTATATAATTGAGTGTATGATAAACAATATATTAGATCAGATCATATAAAATCACCACTTCACAACTTATACACAAAAGCTATTACAACAAAGCATCAACACAAAATAACAACTATGTCATCATTACAACAACTCAATTATGCAACATGAAATGCGACTCGTACAATGCATATGCATGTGGTACCAATGGAGCAGAACTCCCAACTTAAAAATAGAGCAAAACTCTCTACTTAAAAACGGAGCAGAACTCTCAACTTAATAATTTGCCAATTAATAGAGGCATCAACAAGGCATAAGCCTTCATCCCAGTTTGTCAATTCAGACCATCACAGAGTATGCAAATGTATATGACTCAATGAATGCACTATCACATACTCACAACAATCATCATTCATCGCAAGGCATAAGTCTATATCACCATTATTACCAGTAAATAAAGGTAATTTATCGTCATTTAAAATTTCTTGCAACTTCACATTATCAACAAGAATTCATAACGACAATCACAACAACACAACAACTTAATATAAATCAACATTAGCCATAAGCCTACCACATCAATCAATGATTCAACATCAACTCAATATAATTCAACTTTGGCCATAGGCCTACAACTTGATATTTCAACAACAACAATTAACACAATGTTGGCATAAGCCTACAACTTAGTACGTCACAACAACAATATCATATCAACAATAGTAATTTGACAACAACATCAACAAGAAAATAACATTGGCCATAAGCCTAACAATTCAATACCACATGCAATTCATATTTTTCAACAAATTATACGATACACCGCATCAACCAAAATATACTACAAACGCTCCGCGAATTTGTTTGGACAATTCGACTATTTCCGGTTAATTAATCTTTCGCTAAATTACCAACATTTTCTACTCTGCACTACTCTTATTAAGTCTATACAGTTACTACTAGTATAGGTACTACCTGTTACTAATATCTCACTGCCAAACTAGTACCATTACTCTCTGTTATTAAATTACTGGTTACCAACATACACTACCTGTTATCCACTTAATAAATTACTATTAGTTACTACATTGATCTTCTGCCAATTTATTCTACTAATTACTTCTACCGGTAATTCTCTGCTAAATTATTGTATCTGTTATTAATATACTACTCTACTAAATTAATTGAACCATCCTCTGCTACTTAGCATCTTTGTGCAAATTTAATTTCTGGAACACCATTGTTTTTAACTCTGCTGCTACTGCTACTCTAGATACCAACTAAGTGTTAATCTAACAATTACCTCTGCTAGGTACCAACAAATATGCTACTTGGTTTAAATTAATCTAATGAGATACTACTATAATTAATTAAGCCAATTCTGCAACTTATTAAATCCATCTCTTATGAATATTGATTTTCACAAATTAATCCTACTGATAACTCTGTTATATACTGCTACTAAAAAAGTCTCTGCTAATTCATACTAATACTACTACATGAAGGCTCTACTACAACAGCAAGAAACAAAACAAATAAAATAAAATAAAGACAACATGTGCCCCTCGACACCATTTTCCTGCCGATCGGCATGCTCCCCCTTTCAACATTATTCCTGTCGGCACCCATGTCATGCCCCTCGACATGTATGCTTTCCAACCTCTTAGTCTGTTACTGATTACTAACCTATAATTTTCAGTTTCAGGCCAACCACATAGAACCACACAACAACATAACAACTATATCAACATATAATAATTTCCAACAACAAATTCATTGATTGATTCACTGCAAATTCCTCGGGAAATCTGATTGTGGTAACACCAACTCATAACAACAACAATTACACATACAATAACATTTCCACAACGATAATTTTATACAGACCAATCCCTGCATAATATTTATCATATACCCTTTTATAGAGTCAGAATCCCACCCTTACCTTGGATTGGAGATCACTCTATTCTACCGGTTAAAGTCTCTCGCCCTATTTTCCAACCTTTGCCTCTTCTCTGTAACTTTGCAGCTTCTCACGTACCAAATTCTCCAAGACTTGTTCAATTAACCTAATTCCTTATAATTAGTTTAACCTTATAATTATTAATATTCTTATTGGGCACCACTTTCACACCCCACCTATTACTCCATACAACCAAATAACGAGCCCAACTAATAAATCTTATATTATTCTAATATCTATATTAATATTATTGCTAATATTAATCAACCGATCAATTAAATATCAACCAAATAACAACTTAGCAACTTAAATCAACATTTCTCGATATTTCA